AATTGTGCTTGATGAGATAGAAACTCGAGAAAGAATTTAGCTTCTTACGAATGATGTTAACTCCTTGCCTTGACTTAGGAGCAAATGTGGAGAAAAAATCTAGCCTCTCATAAATGATGCCAAAGAAGAAATTTACTTGATCATCTTTGTAAGCTGTTGAGCTTCATGGTTTGGGCCCGCGGCCTTTTGAAAATTTTTGATGGAGGAGTTGTTCATAGCTCGTATAGGAGGAGCTCACCATAAAGGGATTTCTCTAGAACCCACCCCACATGGAGTCCTTGCACTTTTCCATCTCTAAAATAGCAATGTATATTTATAATCATAAGTGCAAATGAGCAAAGTGGCATGATTATGATACATAAAAAATGAGATGGCAAAATGATATCATGAATGCAAAAACAAGTGCAGAATGAATGGAAAAATGTGGAATGAATGCAAAGAATGCGAAAAGCAATTAATAATAAATTTCAATATAAGATTGGACCAAGCTTGGGCCAAAGCTATAATTTGCTGCGGAGCTCAATTGCTTTCTTAACAACCTGTATCACGAGGACTTGAAAACAGAAGAAATTAAAGGCATCCAATTTTATAATCAAGAAAGTATATTATATAAAATAAATAAATAAATAAGATTACTAGTTCATCTTTTTTTAATTTTCAAAACAATACATGGCTAATGAACTAAATTTATATACATATTAATATAAAATTTATGCCTTGATATTATTTACATTTGGATGAATTTTATGAAAATTTACTTAATTTTGCATAATTTTCATTCTGTGCTGGACAGAACTTAATCGGAAAAAGTCACAATCTTTAGAAGTAAATTGCAAATATATGAAATTTGAGGATCAAATTTTGCAGAATCCAAAAGTAAGGGGTCGGGACTGTAATTTTACCGTTACCAGAATTTGCAGAGAATGACAAAAACCCGATACAGACTCTTCCGGACAGTGTAGAAAAAGTGTCGGTACCTTGTTGAGGGTGTTGACACCTTGCAGCTCGTGCTGCACATCTTTTAGCTCATGCTCGACCTCTGCACCTCGTGTTCAAGTTCTGCATTTCATGCTTGGCCTCTGTAGCTCGTGGCTGACCTCGGTAGTGAGTGTTTGAGCTCTACAACTTGTGCTCAAGTTTTGCACTTCGTGCTCGACTTCGGCAGCAAGTGTTTTCAGCTCATGCTCGACCTTTGCACCTCGTGTTCAACTTCTGCACTTCATGCTTGGCCTCTGCAGCTCATGGCTGACCTCGGTAGTGAGTGTTTGAGCTTTACAACTTGTGCTCAAGTTCTGCACTTCGTGCTCGACCTCGGCAACAAGTGTTTTTAGCTCATGCTCGACCTCTGCACCTCGTGTTCAACTTCTGCACTTCATGCTTGGCCTCTACAGCTCGTGGCTGACCTCGGCAACAAGTGTTTTTAGCTCATGCTCGACCTCTGCACCTCGTGTTCAACTTCTGCACTTCATGCTTAGCCTCTGCAGCTCGTGGCTGACCTCGGTAGTGAGTGTTTGAGCTCTACAACTTGTGCTCAAGTTCTACACTTCGTGCTCGACCTCGGCAGCAAGTGTTTTCAGCTCATGCTCGACCTCTGCACCTCGTGTTCAACTTCTGCACTTCATGCTCGGCCTCTGCAGCTCGTGGCTGACCTCGGTAGTGAGTGTTTGAGCTCTACAGCTTGTGCTCAAGTTTTGCACTTCGTGCTTGACCTCGGCAGCAAGTGTTTTCAGCTCATGCTCGACTTCTACACCTCGTGTTCAACTTTTGCACTTCATGCTCGGCCTCTACAGCTCGTGGCTGACCTCGGTAGTGAGTGTTTGAGCTCTACAACTTGTGCTCAAGTTCTGCACTTCGTGCTTGACCTCGGCAACAAGTGTTTTCAGCTCATGCTCGACCTCTGCACCTCGTGTTCAACTCCTGCACTTCATGCTCAGCCTCTGCAGCTCGTGGCTGACCTCGGTAGTGAGTGTTTGAGCTCTACAGCTTGTGCTCAAGTTCTGCACTTCATGCTCGACCTCGGCAGCAAGTGTTTTCAGCTCATGCTCGACCTCTGCACCTCGTGCTCAACTTCTGCACTTCATGCTCGGCCTCTACAGCTCGTGGCTGACCTCGAGAGCTCGTGTTGGAGCTCTACACTTCCTGTTTGACCTCTGCAGCTCGTGTTTGAGCTCGGAAGCTCGTGTTGGAGCTCTGCACTTCATGCTTGGCCCATGCACTTTGTGCTCAACCTTTGCAGCTCATGGTTGACCTCAACAGCTCGTGTTTGAGCTTTGCAACTCGTGGTTGAGTTCGGCAGCCCATGGTTGACCTCGGCAGCTCATGTTAAGCTCTGCACTTCGTGCTCGGCCTTTATAGCTCGTGCTTCAGCATCCCACACCTCGGGCTTCTGCATTTTGCAACTCGTGATTCAGCAATTATCATTTCGGACTTCTACACTTCGCAGCTCATACTCAAGCAAGATGCTTGCAGCTCGTGCTCAAGCAAGATGCTTGCAGCTCCTCATTGTCGAACTTGAGTAATGGAGCCCAGCCATAGTCAGCCTGGCCATAGCTGCTTAGTCTTCTTCTGTCATTGGAACCATAGGCTCTTGTTTCCTAACAGGTGATTGGATTCTTACTTAAGTGGCTTCAGGCTACGAAAGAAAGGATGACAATATTGCTAAGGCTTCTTCCCCAATTGCCTGAAAGTACTTGCTTTCTAGCCAGCTACGTACCTTCAAAATCAATTTTCATTAATTACATATATGTAAAGTAGAAACCAAAATGCAAAGTTATAAAGGCAGAAAACCAATGTCTAGAATCGAATCCTTTGGAAGGAGAACAGTAAAATCCAAAAAGCTAAAAAGAAAGAAAAAAAAAGATTATGGAGAAATTAAAATCTAGGAAAAAAAAGACTTTTGAGTAGGTTTTCAGAGGGTTGCAAAAATGTAGTAGATTTTACTTCCTGAGATCTGGTGAAACTTGTGCAGATGGTTGCAGAAAATGAAAGAGATTTTATTCGAAAATGATGAAATCTTAGAAAATACGGAGTAATGGAGAAAAGAATGAAGGCAGTGAAAGTAGTGGATGCTGGAAAAACAGTTGTTTGTGCAGTGAAATTAAGCAGTTGGTTTGCTGAGAAAGGCTAAATGGTGCTGGACTGCCTTGCTTCTCCCGAGTTGGTGCACTGCTTTGAGCTTTGCCACTGCCGAGTTGGACTGCTTTGTTGCTGCCGAGGTGGACCGTTTGGTTGCTGTCGCGCTAGGCTGTCGTGCTGCTGCCGAGCTGGTGCGCTGCTTTGGGCTTTGGCGCTGCAGAGCTGGACTGCTTTGTTGCTGCCAAGTTGGATCGTTTGATTGCTGCTGAGTTGGGTTGTCGTGCTGCTGCCAAGCTGGGCTGCTCTGCTACTGCCAAGCTGGACCGTTTGGTTGCTACCGAGCTGGGTTGTTGTGCTGCTGCCGAGTTGGGCTACTCTGTTGCTGCCATCAAGCTCGAGCTCATATTCTCACCGAGGGCGCCACATTTGTGAGAAATTTGGTTTTTTTTTTTTTTTTGAAC